AAAACACTTCACTGTATAATAAAACGGTAAAATAAATGATGATAATGGATGACGACCAGCGGCAAATAAAAAGAATATTCAGGACGATAACATGTAAATACAATACGAATAATAACCCCGCTTTTTACTAGACTGACACGCTGAGTCGGTGTTTTTATACGTAAGTTCCCAAGATATTAGTTCGCAGGAAAAAATGTCACCCGACCCGGACACATTTCCGACTCTGAGCCGACCAGTCTGTGCTCCTACTCTATGATGTCACGTTTTAAGAGCCAAGTAATAGCCAATACTAATTTAACTTCTTTGTTTGGCCCGGTCGGGATTCGAATAAACGACCTCCCGCTCTCGAGGGGAACACCTTCACATGAGACCAACCAGTAGAGCGGTAGTACATAATATACCAAAACCTCAAGTACAATAAACAATACAGTTTCACAGACTTCTCACAGTTACTAAAGCGAGCTAAAAGTATCTAACCTAAATTAAATGCGTGAAATGATATTGTAAACTACACGTAAACATCGATGATCGCTCTCGGCAAATTAAAAACTCTTGCACAAATTATTTGGGTGGTCCGAATGTGGCCAGCTGTTGCAAGTCTAAATTTCTGTCCTAATTCAATATACCCTCATTTTCCAGTGGTATTTTAAAGTTTCACGTCCAACCTCACTGTCGACCTCCTATTGCACGACCTACCTATTGAGTATTGTATTTAAAGACTTCATAGGTTATAGTCACGAACATGCATGAAATATTTGCCACTGGACGTAACGCAAACACCAATCAATCAACTACATAATTGTTCCATGTACTTAGCACTCAAAGACAAGATCTTGTAAATTGTTATGAGGTACTATTTCTTTTAAATTTTTATGGTTTTTTTTGTGGTTTTTTTTCTTTCAATTTATTACATAAGTGACTGCTTATAAAAAAGTTTTAATATTTTTTTACTATGGTTCTTATCTACTGTTTTAATACGATTTATAACATGATGTTTTGTCAGGAAAGGATAAAACTAAGCAAGGTAAAAGTTTTTTTTCAGGTGTTGTGCTTCAGTTGGACATAAAATGGGAATAACGGAAGACTAAAATAAAAGAGTTTGTTTTCATATAAAACATCGAACCTACGAATATATGTCACCTAAACACGTTTTGATCGGGTCAGTGAAACGTAGTTGATGCTCTAGATGTCATATTTATGTTTTTCAATACGGTTTTATTCATTGAAGTTTGCATGCATAGTTTTTATTTAATAAAAAAACCAAAGCAAGATCTATTAATTAATTGGACTGAACAGACATTGTCAACACTAATTATTTTGCATTCGCATGTAACGTAGTGTAGGAAAATTACAGAATCTTAGGTCTGGTCTGTTTCATGATTACTGACAGATTAAAAACATCATATATATATGTTGTGTACAAGATGCAAGTTTGTACAAATTATAATTTGTACAGGGTTTTTGTACAAGTTATAAGTTTTTTGACACATACCTTTTTGCACCAGGTGATAAAAGTTTATCTTCTAAAATTTATCAGCTTAATGTCTTAAATTCAAATTTATATACTTCAACTAAACATTTAGTGCTATTCTCCTTGTCCAAAAACTGGAAATAAGGACACCTGAATGGTTTAAATTCTATTTTTATTTTTCTCCTTATACCAAAATCATATCCATAAAAAGTCATTTTGTGTTCTTATAATGTTTTTTGTATCAATGCTCAATATTAGACTGCATCATGTAGTCATGGAAATATGACAGAAATATGAGAAACAAAAGACTGTGTGCTTGTATCATCCATTTGTGTTAAGCGGTTCATAAAACACTGATAACTTGTACAAAAATTCTGTACAAATTATAATTTGTACAACATTACAATTTGTACACAACATATATATATATATATATAAAACAAGAAGTTGTTGTGCAGAATATTCATTGGTCAGTTATAAATGAGGTATGTATAGGGTTTTGAATGCCTCATTTATTAAATAAGAAATCGTTATTTTGAAAAATTGTATCAAAAATATAAATTTACCCCCTAATTTTGTAAAACTATCATTTGGTGTTATTTTAATGCTAAACAAAATATAATAAATGAATAATTGAATGATGTACTGCCATTTAATCGGTCCGTTTCCGTTGCAATTTGGTAACTGTTAATTGTATATATCAGTCTCAGTACTGTTTAACTATCATTTAAGGTAAACATATTTAGACCCGTCCAATTCAGGGGAATTAGGTTTCTGCGAGTGCTTTTTGTGTACTTTTCTTATATTTTGACGGTTTGTAAGTCAGTAAAAGTTCAATGATTAAGTTAATATTGACATTAAAAGACCTCCTCACAAAAAGGGCTGTTCAAATCCCCTCGCCCTTCGGGCTCGGGGATCTGAACATCCCTTTTTGTTCGGAGGTCTTTTAATATCAATATTAACTTATCATTGAACTTTTACTATTACTTACAACACATATTTTAAATATCATTGCTCTTCGATACAAAATAAATTACAAATATTGTGATCGGTCTTGTTTTTTTGGTTTCTTTTTTGGGGACAGTTTTGTATACACTTAAACTAAATAGAAGTGTAACATATTGCCTACATCTTTATTTTACATTGCAGTTTCGTTTTAATTAGAATATAAAACAATGGTCTGAAAATTCAACCTCTGCCAATACGCATTGAGAAATTGTCGAATACATTAAATTGATATTATATTCCATTGTATATTATGTTCTAAAATATAATAATAAATTACATGTATAGAAACATTGTATGATTTTTTTAAAGCTATTAAATATTTTAATTATTCTAGTTATGAATGAAACGAACAAATGGGCGTGTATCATTTGAAGATCAATAGTCTGAAGTTGATTGTTTGGAAATCATTCTAATAATAAACTTGACTATGACATAATAGAGGAAGTTAATATTTGCGAAACACGAACCTAAGGAATGCCAAAAACGTTAATGTCCATATCGATACACACTTGGTTAAACATAATACAATATGATTTAAAGGAGGTAAGAAGTAATTATCTTATTTATTTAATACAAAGTTGATCTAGTTTTTTATTCTTTAAATGGAAGTACAATTATTGTCTTTTTGACTTAACTCCAACTTATTTTTACATTTGCATATATATTATAATGAAAAAAAAAAAACATAATATAGACAAATACACACACAAACGGTGAGGCAGAGGAGAGCATTGGTCCTTCCAATCTCAAGTGATAGGTATGTTTGTGTTCCTCTGTATGTTTATGTGCCTCTTTTTGTCGAAAAATTGTGCAAGTGGAAAAGTGAGAGCGATATAAACAAATATTCCGATTTCAGAAGTCCCCTTCACGTGTTTCTAGATCGGACAAAACGTTCATCATATACGCTGGAGGGTTAAATCTTTATCAAATACACAAAATATTTGAGAAAATAAAAACAAAATGACATTAATTGTCGTCGGTTTATTTTACTATGAAAGTTGATACATGCTGTTATTACAGTTGCATCATTTGTTAATGAGAAACCTTAAATCAATCATTTATAATTTTCGAATGTGAATAAAACATTCATTTGAAATAGACCTGCCTATTGTTAAAAACTATATGTCTTTTTGCAATTTATTTTGTTATGTTACTGTTACATTGACGAAAACCTACTTTTCCTTTTATTCGTATATTTTCAATTTCAACAAGGTATACGTCAAAGCAGAAGCAAGACAAGAGAAGAAACACTAATTATGGCATGAATTGTATCGAACATTAAACCTGATAAACATTTGAAGAATATGTTGCGATAAGATACACCAATTCTTGTCTCAGACTTATTAGAAACACAAAATAAAAGTATTTGTTTTTTTCTACAATTAATTGTTTAGTGAATGGCAATACTAACACGGCACACATTTCTTTTTATCTTTCTTTTCTTCAGTGCGTGGATAAGAGGTTCGATTAGAGAATTATTACAAAGGTTTGTAATGTTTGAGGCAAGGAGGGTAATAAAATAAGAAGATTTAACTTGAAGTCATTTGTAAATTAGAGGCACAAGTAATCTATCCATATTCCAATAATATCGCATTTCCATTATTTAATATGCAAATAGAAATTAAAAAACACCGGAAAGTGGAAAAAGGTGACACGTCAAGACTTGAAAGGTATATTGTTTGGTTTTTTTTAGAAACAAAAAGTTATCAGGTGAACAAACAAGCAATGATGAAAGTATGTCTGTTGGGGATAAAAAAAACAATATACATCAGGGGGTAAGGAATGTAGGGAATGAACAAAAGTAAACTTAATAATTTCATCACTTGAACAACTAGAATCAGGAAAATTTCGAGATAATTTAAAATACAAAATAAAAAATATTGGAAATTGGGTTTCTCTTTTTGAGCAACATAGTTACAATACTTAACGATGTAGGTCGGAATCTATCCTCTTCTCGTTATCGTTATATGTAACAAAACTCTTTAATACACAACATAGAAAAATTAGGACTGAGAAACGAGAACCCCGCCAAAAACTGGGGTGATCTCAGGTGCAACGTAGGGGTAAGCAGATCTTGCTCCACGTGGCGAAGTATGTATTCACGAAATAATATTTATAAATTTTATAGAGTATTAGCGGAGGGAGCAGATCAAACCGTATCCTTTACATCATTTAGAAGTCAGAGGACTTTGGATTCCACTCATAGAAGAAATGTTGATCACTGATGACTATGGGGTAATAATTTTCTCTCGTGTCATTACAAACACACATATATATATAGGCCTTTATAGTGTAAAAACTTTTAATGTGAAATAAAGCATAAAGACTTATTTTCTAAAATACTAGTAGTTGTTATGTCAGTACCGTTTGTTGCTAAACAAAGAGATGACCAACATGAGATTGAGATTTCTCAAGACAGTATTTATAAATCGGAGCTGAAACAAATTTAAAAAACTGTCAATAAAAGTGAAATGGTCTTAAAATAGATCTCGTTTAAAATACATATTTTTTTCAGCGGCTTATTAGATTAATAAGAAATATAAAGGCAGCCGCTGATGAATCATTAGACACAGATCAAATAGCTAACTGCAGAAGATCTCTCCATGTGTATCTTGACTTAAATATATCTTTTATCACCATGGTGGAGAATTCGATTGACCCAGGCCATATCGTCGAAGAATCAAGAAGCATATCGATGCAGATAGCTGTATGTTTTCTGTTAATGGTATGTTAAATTGCTTTCAAATAAAAATAATGTTATTGATGAAGACAAGAGGACTACTTGAATGAAAAATGTGAGCTAACGCTTGAATCCCCTCTAACACACACTGGAAACACAATCTGACTACACGAAAACTTTGTTAATGTTTCAACATGTACAAATTATTTCAGCTGTTATTTCCATTCATTCCGTTGGCTGATAAAGTCTAATATTTAATTTTGTCAGATTTTATTGACTGACCCTTTTTAACTTTACCTTGGAGTTCGGTATTTTTGCTAATACTTTATTTAAACAGAAATCGGTAAACGCATTTGTCTATCTCGAAAAATATGTTTCATGCAAAAAATTCTAAGGTTGAAGGTGAGAACAAGGTAAAAGTTTAAATAAAAAGGATATTAACTGCGCTTTAAAACATTGTTTATAAATACTACAACATATGGTCTATATGGTGTTTAATCCAAAGTTGCATCTTCAGGTCGGCTATATTAGTTTGAAAGTGAACAAAATTGAACATCCCATACATTGTACCAACGAGACACATTAACTAACCTGACAATGCGCTGTTTCCAAGTGCAATATGCAGCTTGGTTTATGTTTCAAAGCTGTTTCACTTCTTGGTTGTAAACAAGTACATATATTGATAACAGAGTATCAAGTATACCAGTCTTATAATTTGGGACACAAAATGTTCGTTTTGCATGTTTCGTCTACAAAAGACATATCAGTGGTGGTAGCATTGAAATAAGGCCAAATCAATGACAAAATTGAAGAGCATTGTACACCAAAACTTGCAAGCAGTTATGCTAAATTTAGCTGAAACAATCGATGCCTGGGGTAGAAAGATCTGAATTGTTTGAATGATATAATATTTTGAAGAAAAACCGGATTCACAGAAAATAAACGTTTCAGTCACATTTCATACCTGCACAGTAGTGCTAACTAGACATTTTCGAAAATTCGTCTACACAGAAACTTATTCCAACACCGATATCTACACTGACCAAAATTAATAGACGGACCATATCAACATGTCGCAATATACTGATTGAATGGTCGCGTGATAAATTGGGTTTACTAATTACATGTACTAGTATCTCAATCAAGGAATCCGACTTATGTTTTACCTTAACGATGAGGTTAATTTATGTATACTCAGTTTTTAGAGAGAAAATTAGATCACTTATTACATGACGTGCAGTCATTAAATGGAGGTATTTTTGGGGAAAATACTTAAAATTTCCTTTCGCAGTAGGCGTGTACAGAACATTGTCCGACATCAGAGCCGCAACACCAATATTTTCCGATCTCCGTCGGTATCACTATATACAAACTCAATTTATTCGGTGATATATGCTATATATAATCTGGTTTCCTTGGACCATAGAACGACGCCCAACAGTGTTAGGTGATGCGACAAATAGGTCATGAATAGGCTTTTCCAAATAACAGACAAAATTTATTCCAATCGGTGTTTTATGATGACTTCATATAAAAGGCATTAAATCGCTGGGAAACTTGCCTATCTAAAGGACAAATACGGAAAATTCAATAGACTTTTAACGGAATAAGGTAATATATTCAAAGGATAGAAAACTTTTGAGTTCGAAATGATTGAAAGATCTATGTATAATACATTCACTGAAAATGAAATTTAGTGTAAGCACATACATATTTGTTGTAAAAGCTCATCCAATATACAGGCGTATAATAAGGTTTACTATAAAGTCAACAGAAGTTTACCCATGTTCAAATCATAAATCGATTCAGAAGATAAATCAAGGTAACATACAAAAGGCGTCTCCTGCTATGCAGGAAAGACGTGTGTTGCGTCTACACAAGACTTACCAGAGGCGATAAAATCAAATCAGGTTGAAAGCTAAATCAATGTCGAAGTAGAATAGCATTAAAAACTTAAAATTCACAACAAATTGTACAAAAGCAGGCTAATCCCATATATGTACGGGGTAGATACAACTTGAGTATTTCGACTGATTTTGTTAGGTTTCTTAACAGTAACTTCACAAGAAATGACCGTGTACTTGTTTTATCACGTCTTCTCGGCAGTGATGACAACTTTACTGGTGATACCATCGGGAACTAATGTCCCTTTTCATTGACTTTTAAAAACGAATCCAAGATACAATAAAGTCAACTTATGAAGTTATATAACAATATCGGAGTTGTATCCTTTTATTTCAATTTGAAAGGAATATTTGCGATGAACATAGTTTCAAACTTCGAATTATTCACTAAAAGGATATCATTTATACCACGTATACCGCAAAAACCCTTTATGAAATCTGCCCTTCCCAAAAAAAGGAGCAAGTCATCAAGACGGTGACATACCTAGTTTCTATAGGATACCGGACATCTGTTGAAAACAATTTACATAACGTTTTACAATTAAGAAAGAATTTTTTTAACTCTCACTCGGTTAAAATTATAAATTACATGAAACGAACTTGACATTTGTCTTATTAAATAGCCCATATGTATATATAATATAAAAAAAACCTTAAAAAATTACAAAAATAGAGCATTTCGTGTACAAATTACTCGTACTATATTGCTGAAAAGCTACTGAAGCAGTATGTACTGCATTGTAATCACATAAATTCCAAGGCAACTGTTCTTTACAAATGTTCAAATCCAATAAACCCACCAAGAACGGGAAAATTCAGTTAAGATATCAAAATAGAAAGACTAAATAAGGAATATCAATAACTCCAAAAGGAGCGAGATTGGGTGCGTCGAAGAGTAAGCGTCTCCTGCTATGCATGCAATCTATTATTAAACATTTAATACCTATATCAGATATATATTGATATTTCAGGGGCAGAATCAAAACGTATGTCAGATCTGCAAGAAAAGTAAGCAACTATTATTATATATAGTTTAATCACTTTTTGTTGACAATTTGCATCCCCACTACTTTTGCCACAAAATGATGTACACATGTAGACAAAAAATAAGTACTCATATTTTCATCAGGTTTGTCTGCAATGTTTTCCTTTGTACATGTTTATTGTCTCTATGACAAATTGCACACACTATCTGATTAGCCTTGTTTCTTTGATGTTTTTAAAAATAAAATATACAATACTTTGTTAGAAGGGTGCATTTAAGTCGTTAGCTAAGAGTCTATTTTTTGAAAGTCGCCTATAACAATTTATAACGAAAATCAAATTTTGTTTTTGATGTTTGACTTCAATCATGGTACCAGTTTTATTGCACAAATTGCGCAATGCTGCACGAAGCCTAATCATGAAGATTCCTATTCCTAATTGAAAGGTTAAAGAGCTGATCAAACCAAAAAGGACCCAGAGAATAGTCAAATCCGGGCTAGGAACCAAATCTTTACTTGAGGGGAATATATTCCTTAGTTTAGATAGGTCCTAAATAAGTGTTTACCACGGGTATTTTTAATCAAACAATATCCGTATTTTCATGCCAGTACCGAAGAACTAGTTACTGGGCTGGAGATACCAGAAAAGTACAAACTGAATGTCTAAATACCTTGACATGCGTCATGTGTCCGTTATAATGTAAATTTCAGCATACAAGGTGATTCGATTCTCTGATATGCTGTAATTAATTTTAAGACTCCGTAAACATGGTCTTATAGAACAGAATACAAATACATTGATGATGTTCTTTCCATAAACAATCCAAACTTTTCGGATTGCGTCCCATTTGTATATTCTACTGAACTACAGATTAAAGAAACCACAGATACAGCATCTTCCTCCCCATTTCTAGACATTTACCTCGAATTTGACAACAGTGGTCGTCTCAGTACCAGAATTTTTGACAAACAAGACGATTTCAATTTTGAAATTATAAACTTTCCTCACCTTAGCAGCAATATACCAACTTGACTCACGTATGGAGTATACATTTCTCAACTCATACGATATTCAGGAGCTTGCAGCTGCTACTCAGACTTTGTAAAACGTCATCGGTTTCTGAGCAAACAATTGATGAATCAGGGTTTTGTCAAAGAACGTCTCGCCTCCTTTCGCCAAAAAATCATCAGAAAGTAACAAGACCTTATAGATCAATATTCAGTGTCTACTTCACATATACTAGTACAAGATGGTCTTGAAATTCAAGGTGCTGAAATCATTTATCTATCTATTTATTTACTTTACAGTTTGTATTTTATTTGTCTTCGTGCTATTATGTATCTTTTGGTCCTATGCCTTTTGACGTGACTGTATGTATGATACCGCTATCGGGTTTAGGACTAGGTGTTTCTGGTGGAGGTGGGTCCTGATGTGCGATTCGGACGCAATACGTTTTAACAATGCTGTTTTCATTTTGTTTACATTTGTATTTATAAATTAACTTATATGGCTACCAGGATTAAAAATGTTTACGCCAGAAGCGCGTTTTGTGTTCAAAAGTCTCATCAGTGCCGATCTTATTAAAAAAGTTATCGAAAAAGTGTATAGTACTATATACGGTATGTACTATTAGCTACAAAAACTTTACGACAACACTTTTTGCTTGACGTCTTTGCAAAATTTACTATCAATTACAACAACCTTTTTGTTGACGCCATTGTTAGTTTTTTCTTGATGTTTTTTGAATTTTTAGTCAGTTGTGTTTTATGTCTGTGACGTATGTTTACACAGTTTTGAGTGCTGGATCCTAATCATTGTCACATTAACATATTGTGCATGTTTCGGTTGCTCACCCAATTTTGTCAATATAACGGATCTATAAACAACTATAATACAAATTGGAAAGTTTAGCTAGGTATAAAACCAAGTTTAATCCACCATTTTCTTCGACAAATGCCTGTTCCAAGGCAGTGATATGATAGTTGCTTTTCACTCGTTCCGTTGTTTTATAGCTTTTGATTTTGTAAGCAGTTTTTTTTTTAATTTTGCTTTTAGAATTTACCTAAGAGTTCGCTATTTTTTTCATACTTTTTCAAAATATAAATGAAATATAGATTTTTATATTTTCTTTACAGTGGATGCACACTTAGCTATACAACCAGGCAGTTCAGTTTTTCAAAAATTCTTTTTTTATCTGGATTGAAGCTCTGATAAAGCTTCAAAAATTAGATATTGCGAAGAAGAAGATTGAACATTACCTTGAACTGACAACGCAAAAGGTATGGAACATTGTAAAACAATGTGATGGAATTGGAGCAATTAATTAGGTTCACATATTCACCACTAACATGATTTTTTAATGAACTTTTATTATATTTTCTGTTGATAACTTTAAAAATTATTTAGAAACTAAAGTTCCAACATCCTCATGCAAAGTTTACTTTAGGCGCTTCTAATTATTCTATGTAGGTCCCCTTATGTCCTATAGTACATCAAGTATTCAAACCATACAGGCTTCAAATTTAAAGATGCATTTCAAATTTGTCTTTATAGTCTTTATATCCACACTGCCTTTAAGTTGCAAATGCCACATTTTATTATATCTGAGTAGAAAATTCCGAAATATCAATTTCTTGTAGAGTTGTTTTTTGCTAATCCTAGTATAAATGTAAATAACAAATATCCTCAGTGTACCCTGATAAAAGATTCTTTCAACGATTCTGTTATCTATGTTTTAATTCTTAATAACTACAGTCAGAAAAAGACTTTCCAACTTATTATAAGCGAAAATAAACATTCTGTGTCAGTCAGCGATGGATTCTTTTATCTTCAAAAGGTTTCATAGAAAGCAGAGGTATCCATTTTGCAAAATGATAAAAAAGTTCCTAATGTTCTACATCATGACTTACATCTAGAAATTGACAATATGAGTTGGTTTAGAACTAAACTTTTCGACAAAAGAGATACTGTCAGCTTTCCTACTGTAAACTTTCCATTTCTATGCAGCAACATTTAATCAGCGTTTGCATTTGGAGTATATATCTCCAAGTTGATACCAAATTCCAGCGCTTAAATTTCCTATCATGATTTCTTTGATAGAGGGTTTCAAATTACAAAAAAGTCTTTAAATCAATGGTTCCAAGTGGTGAGATCGAATTCATCCGCTCAAACATTTTACGGACGCTATCTTGAGTTTCACATCTGATAGTGGATATGTTCCAATTATTGTAACCATAATCTCGTCCTCTTTTCCTAGAATGGGAATCACCGAATGAGACTAAGCACCCAATTTGTAATTACATGGGCAACACTACATGTGCTACATGTGGAGCAGGATCTGCTTACACTTTTTGAGCACCTCAGATCATCTCCTGTTTTTGGAGAGGTTTGTGAAGCTCAGTCTTTTTTTTTCTATGTTGTATTTTATAGAGTGTTGTTTTGTCTTAATGTCGTATTTCGTTTGCAATGGTGTTGTCATTTTGTCTTGGACTTATGAGATTGAATATCCCTTTTGTACCTTCGTATTTCTTCCTATGGTCCAAATTACTTTTTTCCTTAACAACTTCATTTCAGATATAATTTGTTTTTAAAGCATTGTTTATGCTATAAGAGTTGTAAACAGAGATAAGTTTCATATCATAAATTTTGAAAAATCTCACTCTGTTGTAAGAAAATGACAAACGAATCGAAGTGGAAAATACAAAATAATATTTTTTTCTTAATTAACAATGTTCGCATGGGATTTTTTGGATCAATGTATTTTCCTCACGAATGAATCTAAAGTTCTAATGTAAAACCGTGCTTTGTCTTTTGTGAACAAATGAGCTTTGTCTTTTGTGAACAAATGAGCTATTTTGATTCTTTATGTCCTAACATATTATATTTTACAAAGAGTATTATTCTAAAGCAAAGTTTATTTGATATGCATAATATTCTTCTTGTATTCTGAAGTGTATTGTTTTTACCAATTCGATGAGTTTCACCGGCTGCAAGAGACTGGCTGCTTCTGAGATTAATTTAGAAGAATGTAACCTATTTCATAATAAATAGTTTATGAAAATACACCGTCTCCCCTAAAAAATAGGAAAAAAATCCCCCAAAATCAAGAAAGAATCAAAGTAACAAATGAATTAAATAAAATAAAATCTTAAAGAAAAAGGAGGATTTTTTTTTAGGATAAACTGTCATTGTTTATACATCATTTGGTTAATATCGAAAAGTTTCATTACGATCTGTTAAAAATGATAAATCGAGGACAAATTTTTCATAAAAAACATAAATGTTTATTAAATGACTTTATGTGTTTGTTAAGATAATTTAATTGAGAAAAAATTGCGTACGAAGAAAAACGATGAGAATAATTATCATCTTGAACCTGTTATTTATTTTGACTGTCATATTTGCTTGAATGAGAGTTAGTATTTGATAGAAAACCTTACGAATGCTGCATTTTGTTAATAGGAAGACAAGGAGGCTGTTAATCCGTTTTTAGATCAGATAGACACAATTGAGGAAGAGATAAAAAGACTAGAAGACGAAGTCGTGGATAGCGACAATGAATATGTAAAGGATTCTAATTACACTGGTATAAAACAGGTGTGCAAATTATCTTTTTTTTATATCCAATATGGTTACACTAACGTTACCAATATTAGTGCACCAGTTGCACATTTCAACATTTTACGGCTCTTCTGTGATGTTCCAGGTCAAAATATTTAAAACCTAAAAAACAAATATTGAAGAGCAAAACAAATACAAGGAATCTGATTTATGGATGAGGCATATATATAACATGTATAAGGGAGACACATACTTTAATTAAAATGATTTTTGAAGATTGATGTCGCGTATTTAAATAAACAGTATTCTCATTTTAACGCCAATTCCAAAGCACTAGGCTAATTACAATCCACCAGTAGAGGTGTCTATCTGGAAAGTGGGACGGGAGTCACATGAAAATTAGCAAGTGCTAACCTTTCCTTTAGGCGTAAAAGAATTTCGGCTTTTTCTTTGTTTGTTTGTTGATATCTTATTTACTCTGTTATGTATTTTACATTGTTCCGATTATTAGTTAACGCTGTAAGATAAACATTAACTGTTGATATTTATATATGATTTTTTGTAGAAAAGAGCTATTAATTTTGGCTACTAGATATGTAAAATATACATTTTTATATTGACAAAATATTCGAACATGTGACTTTAATGTTACCATAAAGAACTTTTAGTTCAAATACCCCCTTGTAAGTAGTAAGATACTATCATCAGAAATTATGAGAGGAGACGACATCCCTTGAAACTGTATCAAATGAACGATGCATACACCATAAAAAAATTCTGCTTTAATGTGGTCACATAGATATTCAAATATGAAATGCGAAGGTTGAAATCACCTTTGTTGAGGTGAACTTTATTTTCAACCCCCACTCACAATTTTTTAGTGTAAATAAAACATATTATAAATAACCAAATTAAGAAACTCATCAAAGATAACAGACTTACAATTTAGAATCCCTTAATTTTCTCAAACATGTTACGCAATATACCAATTGAAAGGTGCCAAAACCATAACAGGCTACCGTAATGAAATAAAAAGTAAACAAACGTGGAAGCAAGATCATATGAGGCGATTCTGAAGGAGAAACATTAATACAAAAAATCATTTAAAAACCGTCATCACAAATTATGATTAATAAATGGAAGCGTGAAAATGTCAAAAAAAAATAAAAAAATTAAAGGACTTAGTTTAGTATATATATGCATGCATTGGCTCAAATTTTTTCTGAATATTATGATTACCAAACAAATCTTTTCAAAGGACTTAAAGCTGTATTAGGTAATAAAATTGTTTTCGAGGGGTTTTATTGCAAATGCTATAAACAGTCGACATTCATTACAGCAAAGACTCAAAGCGAAAGAAATAAAAGACAAACACAAGAAAAAGAAACGAAATCGTCGTAAGTAGAATTAAAACAAAATTGTATAATCTAAATAAAGGCAACAGTAGTATACCGCTGTTCAAAAGTTATAAATCAATTGAGAGAAAACAAATCCGGGTTACAAACTAAAACCGAGGGAAACACATCAACTATAAGAGGAAAACAAAGGAACAACAGAAACACTGAAGTGCAACAAAAACAAACACCAATATACATAGAAACGAATTATTTGATAACAACTGCCATATTCCTGACTTGGTACTGGACATTTTAAGAAAAAATGGTAGGTTGAACCTGGTTTTATGACTAGCCAAACCTCCCGCTTATATGGCAATGTTAAAAAAAATCGCTAAAATTACAACACTACGTGACAGAAATACAGCACAAACACACGCAAGAACCCTTCATCACAGAGAAACGCAAAAAATAAATAATATAATAGTCGATACAACATGTAAACCGCAGAATAACAACGAACATCTTCCATTAAAGACAGACAGCACAGGACATCACAAACAGTGAAGTATTTTTGTAACGAATATATAATCTTGAAATTCATATAATCATTTTCACAATACTAATCCAAACGATTATCATGATAATAACGGTATTGAAAGGCTATTTTATTATTATTTGGACTAACTTTGATAAGGGAGTTACGTCTGTCTTTTTACATTTTCCTAAAACATGGCGGTTTGTAATGATACTCGAAAAGCCAATATGAATTCCGATTTTGATTAGAACTTGTATTACCTTAAGCTTTGCTTGAAAAACTGTTTGTTTATTTCATTTTCTTGTGTCTGTCTGTACAACATTTTGTTGTCTTTTTTTTTTTAGTCTTGTCAATTTGAGATTTTATTCCATGCTGTTAATATAGAAAAAAAAAACAACTTTACTGTTGGTATCCTTAAGCGAGAAAAGTCAATAACAACTACAGGTCTTTCGATGGGTAGTTATAATCTGATTATCCGGTCATTAAGTGTAGATATAAATAAATCCGATACAAGAACAGAAAAGTATGCAATTCTCATGTCTCATATGGGTTTGAGTTTTCCTGTTGAAGATTAATTGAGAAAAGCGCTCCGGAGGCATATAATTTACAAAATTCATTTTTATTTTTTGTTGTTGAAATAGATACTTCTATAAAAAAGTTGAAATAGATGGTTGCAAAATTACAAAAATATTCATTCGTAAAAACTATTTTTGAGCAAGATGTAATAATACGAATTCTTACGACAGGTCGGAAAATACAGTAGACTTATGTTTGTTTTATTTACGACCACTTCTACCCATGTATTATATGGGGAAATAAACCTCCTCATCATTATACTTATTATCATACAACAGCTCGCTCAAAATATTTGTCCAAAGCTATGACGATTCAAAGACTCACCACTTAAAGTATTTATTTGAAATTTTAAAACTTTAAGCTGTTTGCCAGAATAATCAATCAGACTTTTTTAAACGATAACCAGATAACAGTTCTTTATAGAGATAACTGAAGTACAAGCGATAGTACTAATATTTTTCTAAATTCGCCACTTTTCATAATAAACGCAAGGAAAAAACAATTATGTGTGATATAAGTACTTTATTATTCTGTTTTAAAAATTGAAGCCAAATGGTGGCATGAAGAGAGCTGATTTGTAGTATCCATGGAAAGTTTTCTTCAATCTTGGAAAACTGGAACTCACTACAGTAAATGAAACACCATATGTTTTCATTTAAACACTTATGAGGTAGAAAGATATTAAAACAAAACTTTTTTTTCAGCAAAAACTAAACAAAAAACAGTGGAATACTTTACAATGTCAACTCCATGGATAGGTGTTGACGGTAAAAGGTTGAAGAGTGCAGATAAACTTACACTATCAAATGAAAGTAGCAGCTCATCAAATGCAGTTGAATCAATAAAAAAACAAAAGGTCATGACATTTCTGATATTGAAAGTGACGAAGAATTTGACAAAATGGCTAGAGACAACTGGATTGGCAATTATAATATATCTAGTGATGATGAAAAAGATAGTGAAAATGAAACTATCGATTACTACGAGCAGAGTGTAAAGATATATGAAAAAGCTCAAGAAAATAAGTTACATGAATATGAGTTGTTAAAAAATGGTATTATATTATCAAAAAAATATTTAGACCAGCATTCAAAGTGGAGACAAAAGAGAGACATCTTTTAATACGAAGAATTTTACGAGACTGATAAACTGAAAGCGCTTTGTAAAATATATCCAAATAAATTCAAGATATGTACAGTTAAACTTGAAGCTGCACATAAAGCAGTATGTAAAAACATAGATAATTCTGACAAAATATCCAATATTGAAATATCTGGAAGGTCAAAAATTGGCAAGGTTTTTGATGACGATGAACTTTGTGTTGAAATACTAATGGATGAGAAAGAAGAATATGAAAGTCACTCTCACTGTGGTTCAAGACCATACGTAACTGTAGATACATCCAAACAAAATTTTAAAGTATATGGTCAGATAAGAGGAGTTTTCAAACGGATTCACTTTCCAAATGTAAAACACCCCGTATTTGTTTGTATGTTGGATGAATCATCATATCATTTAATGCTTCCAGTTTCTAAAACAATACCAAAACTTCATATACTGAAAAGAAAGATTGCAAATGATTATCAAATTGATGTATACAATTATGATACAAAGACTGAAGAACTTAATCCCAAAGAATTATTTACTATCAAAACAGGAGACATAAAGAACTACACATTCTTGGTTGTTATGATCTGCTGGGAAGATATTTACCCAATAGGTGCAGTTATTAAAGTCTTAAATTCAAAGAGGGGTTTACTTTCCGGGATTGAAATCTTGAGATTACAACACCAAGTGCCGACCATGTACAAGCAAAATACAATTGAAGATGTTAACGAGTTGCTAGAGTCGGATGAATTCATTTTGTGTAAAAAAGATAGACTAGACTTAACCGGTTTGGAAATATTTACGATAGATCCATCTAATGCAAAAGACTTGGATGATGCTTTAAGTATCGAAGATTTAGATGATACCTTTAGGGTTGGAGTACACATTGCAGATGTAACTTTTTACGTTGAAAAGGATAGCCACATTGACGTTGAAGCCTATGAACGTGCCACTACGTTTTATCCCGGCCAACGTCTTAATCCACACCATATGCTGCCTTCCCCGTTGATAAAAGAGCTATGTAGTTTAATTCCTGGAGAAGCGAGACCTTCAATCTCTATATTTTTGACTTTCGACAAAAAAGGTCTTCGAAAGGATTTAACTAAAATTCAAAGAAGTTACATCATGTCATCAAAACAACTTTCATATAGAGAAGTTCAAAACACTATTCTAAAGAAAGAAACGACAATTCCAAATTCATGACTTGTTTAACCTAGCTAAAAAACAAAGAATCAACCGCTTGGGTAGGGGCCTATTTTACTCTCCTATAGAAAAACCCGATGAAGATGACGATTTCAGGGATACTAAGGAGGCTCATTATTTGGCAGAAGAGTTCATGATACTTACAAATAACACAATAGGAATTTTCTCTTAAATAAATTTAAAGACTGCATTCCTCTCCGAGTACAGCAGCCACCGAAACCAGAGCATATGAAAACATGGTTAGAATCACATGAGTATGCTGATTTAATATTAAAGTTACAGGAAATTCATCCGTCCCCTTTGCTATGGCATGACCGAAAGCTTACAATCGATAATAATCCGACGGAAAAATATCATAAGCTACTCGTGTATCAGCATTGGGTTGGAAAAAACTATTATTAGCAATTGAACAAAAAGATTACACAGCGACAAGTCAAATCATAGGTTGTGATGAATTACATCCATTCTCATGTTTGGCACTAGACGAGTGGTACGAATACCAAGAAAGAGCTGAATACAAATGTTCAGGTGAAGTACATACAATACAAGATTATTCTCATTTTACCCTTGGTATGTTCCCATATACTAATTTTACATCACCAATTCGACGATATGTAGATATAATTGTTCACAGGCTACTACATTGTGCTTTAGATAACAAAGGTCCCTGCTATACAAAGGATGAGGTTTCCGTAATGTGTCAGTATTTAAATGAAGTGACAAATCGATCAAAGAATTACCAAAAGCACTGTCGAGCGTTAAGATGTGGACACAAATTAATTAAACAACCTAAAATTTTTCATGGATTTGTTAAAACTGTTTCCAAAAATGAGGTTTCAGTTGTTATTCCTGGTTATAGATCTTTACCAAAAAGTTCGAAAACAATTCAACTCAATAGTTTAAATGCCGTGAAGAAACCAGTATTCAAGACAGATACGTCTACTGGTCGGGAAATTTTAGAACTGACTTGGAAAAAGAGATTATACTCATTCAATGGATATACCCATAATAAGAAGGAAACAAAGTAGGACGGTTACCGATTGAATCCACATAACAGGGGATTTTTCCAACAGCAAAGGAAATGGAAAGTAATACTGGAAACTTTTACATCAGCTAAAAGTCCAAAGGACAAAATGAAAAGATTAATTAAAATCTTCAACGATGAAAGAATGGGAGATTCGAAGGAAAACAGCGACAAGCTTCTAGAATACGTACCAGCATGTTACGAGACAGAAAGAGATGTCAGTTCTGAGGTACGAGAAGGACCAATTACATTACATAGTTGTGAGTTCACTATGACTTTTAATCACCAACAAATATCACCTCTTCAGCTGTCTGCTGAATCTGCAAGGGGTGTCCTTATTCCACAAATCGAGATCTTCGATATGACGAATAATGTCAAGCATTGTTTCCAACATGTCAAAGACCCTGTGAAATATCTAGAGCAATACGCAACATCTCCGTCCAAACCGAAGTATACTAGTGCAGTCGATTATCTTAGAACATGGAAACCACTAGTAGAAATGGAATCAGCTTCAAAAGCAGTACTGCGACAATAAATGATGTTCCTGTAAAATTTATCTCACAGTATGAAGGAAAATTTTCATTAAGCAAACAACTTTGTGAACAACGGAATATTGATATTAATAAGACACCCTTGAGTGTGTTTCTTAACGAAAAGGAAGCTGTCGACGAAGAAAACGAGGAAGGAATAAAAAACATTGCTAGTCCTGATTACCTTTGTATTAAGTGTCCGATTTTTAAAACACACAAAGAAAAACATGATATTATGAAGGGAACCATTGCTCCCAGTGATTATTTCCTTTGGATGGCTCATGCAAAAATAGATAGAACAAAAATAAGAAAAGTAAAAACTGATTTTATATTTCGGCTTCACAAAGATAGCAAACTGGTTCCTCTTGAACTAATGACAGAGAATAGCAAAAACAGGTGCAGCA